AGAGATTACATTCATAAAATGTCGGCATTATAATGCGTTAGTATTAACCATATAAGTACAGCACGACACTTGTTGTTTTGACGAAAAAAAAATTAAATTTATTTCTCAGAGGCCCAAATTAAGAATCTTATTTCAGCCATGATGTGTTCACAGTTGCTGGGTAACGGCTACGGAGGTCATTTTACTGTCAAGCAAACATCATATTGCTATCAAATGAATAACCTGAGACAGCTGTGCGGTCTATTTTATATTTGTTACATTTGCATTACAGTATGAAAATTACATTTCCCAGTTATTTTTTACGATCCACAGGCTGTGCAGTCAACTTAGCAGCACCCCACACGTACCCGCCGGTCGCCCTGATCAGTGCCCCAGGTTCTGGAAATACGTGGGTACGGCATTTATTGGAACAAGCCACGGGTAGTTTCACTGGTTCTGTTTTCGAAGACCCGGAATTATTTGAAGGAGGTAAATGAAATAATTTGTATTACATAATATTTGACTGGTTGATTTGTTGTTTGACTATTTTTTATTTTTTTCTAACGTATTTAATATACACTGCGCTCACCTCCCAGGTTTCATTGGTGAACTCGAAGACTGGAAGTCTGGCACAACGATCGTGGTGAAAACGCACACGCGTAATATCCACCAGATGAAGCATTACTCTGCTGCTATCCTGTTAGTCAGAAATCCCGTCACTTCGGCCATCAGTGAGTGTAACCGCCTTCTCGCAGATCAGCGCCATCTTGGTACCGTGGAATGGGATGAAGAAACAGTACAGTCTCCAGGTACATACAACGTCACGTCAATATGAGTTAATGTGTGTTTGTTGGCTATAGAGGTGGAATATTCGTAGGGTTTGAATCCAGCTAAAATAATTAGTTTACTTTGTGGTGAATCATTGTTTGACCCTAACAAACACACACGCGACCCGAGGTGCGTGCTCATCACAGTGAAATATTTGCACTAACAGACAGGCCGGCCAGAGTTCTATGAACCAGACTGGGAGATCTTGAGGGGATTTGTTGTGGACTAGCAAGCACGGGTAGCTACTGTGTTGAATGAGGTCGTATCACCTGTGTCACGTCACAGTATGTGAACATTGACGTTTGGAAAGTTATTGTAGAACACAATTATGTATTTACATAGATACTTCATGAATTCAACACGTACTACGCAATTCGTGAATAGACACTCACTGCTTTTGGAGGATTTGTTTGTTTTTGAAGAGCAGTTACATTGTAGGTATACATGTATTTAGTGTAGGTATACATGTACTAGTACCTGCGGTACTCTCAAATAGAAATGCGTGGAAAGACCAGGGCAAGATATTTGTTTTTAATATTTTGTTTGCAAACACGACATTATTTTTTCACATTTTGTGTTTTTAGCTTGTTCCGGTATGAATTACGGACAGGTGTGATGCGATACAATACAAGATGCAAAAACAGTGTGCTTATTTTCAATCTTCTGTTCTGTCTGTAGAATTCGTTTCACTTATACAAGAAACAATTGACAGATGGGAAGACGTGATGACCACGTGGCTGACGTTATTCACCGGGCCTTTATACGTCGTCAATTACGAAGACATCGTAGACAACACTGTACCGGAAATGGGGAACATGCTCCGTTTTTTGAACGTTTCAGAAGACGTGGGACGGATGGAATGTCTCAAATCAAACATAGAGGGCCGATTCCATAGACATGTAGTGCATGACCAAAACTCGGTTGAGTTCAAGGTCGTATTGCATATTGTGGGGGATGTGGAAGTGAGAATGGCTCGCGTTTCAAGTTTACTGACACGGAGAGGTTTCAAACCCGTCGATCCCGTGCGAACAGGTGCCTGAGGATTGTTGTCTCTGTCAACGAGTTTCATTGTGAATTCGTTTTAAAGGATGCGGTAAACATACTAGTAATTGTTTCTGTAATCTGGCAAAGCCAGAAGGTCGTTAAAGAAGATTACCTTAGCCTTAGCGTTAGCGTTAGCCCGGGGCGTTAGTTACCTTTCGAGTGTGATGACTTTTTCCGTACTTAATTTTACGACTTTTTTCCACACAAGAAAATCAAATACAGCGACTTTCACCGTCCAATTTTTAAATAACCAACAAATATATGATATTTTTAATAAAAGTGCCATCACATCGACGTCGTAGCAGTGTAGCTGGAGTTACATTTAAAGTTTAAACATGTTTAAACGTCTGGAGTCGTGGATGTGAAGAGATGGGCGATACTTTTGTGTGTGCGGTAGTTAACGACGTCTAACTGACACGTCAATCTCTTTTAGTAACCGTGGTCAATCCAATGAGATAACGGGGATTGATCACATGACTTACAGAATATAACGGGATTCAGAACGAACGATCGTGTGTATGATCGTAACGCTGAAGCAGACTGCAATCGATACTGAACAAATCCATTCAGGCAGTCTTGTCATCACATCGTAAAAAATGGCGGTGGTCGTCGCGCCACGTCGTATTTCGAGGGACCTATAGTAACGTATACAACGCGTGTAAAATACTCGACGACCACTGCCTTTTCACGTTACTAGTACCTTATAGCTATTCCACATCATGTGATTTAGATTCAAAGGCGATGACATTTTGAGATTTTGTTTTGCGTGAGCCACTTTAATAAAATGTATGTTTTTAATCATGTTGCATCGAGAAAATATTTATTTATTTTATATCTGTATACAGGTTTGCCCAATTCATCAACATACACTGTCTGATTTCCAGTGGAATCGTTATAAATATCGAGGCATGAAATATCCTTCACTGTTGAACACTTTTGTAGAAACAACACACATACTGAAACACTAAAATGGCGCGTGGATCATGGAGATTTCATTTATAGCTTTGACTAACTGAATAGAAATGCTATCAAGAAAAGTATTTTTCAAAAATGACGTTTTTGTTATTTATGTTGCCTTACAAACCTTACGACGGGGCAGAGGGTGTTCTCACGTGAAAACGGGATGCGTATGGTCAGCGGTACTGAGTCCCGGTTTATGTCAGACAGGCTACACGCTTCGATGAGATTGGTACTTGAGTATAGGTATGAAACATGATAGGCCACCATGAAAGCTTAGACGACGATGAATTATTAGTTGTCTGAGATGAAAGGTAGTACCTTCCATGATGCCACCATATAGTAGTAGAGAAGGCCGAGTTTGGAGAACTGTTGAGAAACAAAACAAGGTTTTAGGTCGCACCATTATCATGAACATGTTCATTACATTCACAGGCTTATTACAAAATGCGCATTTATTTATTTTTAAAAACGCATTAAATTATTACAAAATGCGAAGGTATGTCGTCGTTTACGATGCCGCAACACAACAATGGCAGTGGTTGAGTGGTTCCATGCACAGTCAGCTGGCGCACACGTGATAATAAAATAAATACGATATTTACTATATGGGGGCCGCCATCTTGAATGACGCATAAAACTAAATAAGAGAAGTTGTAAAACGCGTTTTTCAGATTCCTACAAATCAGGACAAAAATACCAATCTTTCACAAAAATACGGTCCGTTGGGGTTATATTAAGCCAACCGATAACAAAATTCGGCCGAATTCGTCGTTTTTTGTGTGGAAAAATCTCTTGCATACGAACACCTAATTACG